TTTCCTCTCCCTTGGCTCAGCTTCATCCTTTTTCACTTTTTCACTTGCTGCTCCATATGCCTGGCATTGCCTCCTTGGACATCCAAGAACTGCTGTTTCTGTCACTGTTTTCAAATCTCCATTGAAAACCATCTTGTTTCCCAAAGCTTTTGTGATTTGAGGTTAATATTATTTTATAACCTTATATATAAATACATTACAGCTGTACATTCTCAGTTATTTCACCCTTGCATGCAAGGCTAAATTGCCCTAGTTTTCTCTCCACTGTGAAGGCACACCACTAAAGTTGTTGTTGTCATTGCGTGGCTTCAAGTCATTTCCGGCTTATGATGATGAGTCTAAGGTGAACCTATTATGGAATTTTCTTAGCAAGATTTGTTCAGAGGGGGTTTTGCCAGTGCCTTCCTCTGCGGCTGAGAGAGTGTGACTTGCCCAAGGTCACCCAGTGGGTTTCCATGGCTGAGCAGGAATTTGAACCCTGGTCTCCCAGGTTCTAGTCCAACACTCAAGCCACTATGCTATGCTGGCTCAGTTCATTGTTTTTGCTGGTTTTTTTTAACGTCAAGATAACATTTTGCACCCAACTCACCTCCTGCTGACTCTCTGTGTCAAGAGCACTGGTGGCATCGTCCAGGATCAGCACTCTGGGGTCTCGAATCAAAGCCCGAGTGATGGCGATTGCCTGCCTCTGTCCCCCAGAGATCTGGCCTCCTGTTTCTCCAGCATCTGAAGAAAGGAAGAGAAATGAAGATACTTTTCAGCTAAGTCAGACTCCTTCATTCTCTTGTTACATCCTGGCAGAAGCTTCTGTGTATTATATCTATCCTGCTATTGCTGTTTGCTGGCCAGGGAAAGTTTGGTGGAAATGACATAGTGGAGGAAGAAGCAGCTAGTCTTGGCTGTGAGGAAACGGGAAACATAAGTGTTCTCCCACATGGAATGCACCCTCATTATTTTGCAAGATGAGATCAGCTGCTTCTTTGTCCTCTGAGTCCCCTCCGTTCCTCTCTTGCCCCTGCTTCCACTGGGGAGAAGTTTTGGATGGGATATAAAGGGCTAGAAAATATGTGTATATAACCCAGAGTCACATGCACATAAGTCACTAACAGGATTCTGGCTTATCTGTTGATGTTCAAAGTGTTGCTTTTGATGCAGAATTTCCTAATTAATGGAATGTTGAGGGACTGAAAAAATTACTAATTTATGCAGCTCAGGTCTTGCATAGCTTTCCTCCTCTCTTACATCCCACCACAATAGCTCAGCACCACCTTCAGCATCCCACCCTCTAGCAGGTGGTTGAGGCAACAGACTGCAGGCCATATGAGATCTGTTGTCCAGCTATCCCAGGAATAACCAAAGAGTGCCTTCTAGGCTACATGCAACCTTTGAGGCCCCCAGAATTCCTTTCAGCCCCTCCCAAAACATTTTTGTCCCCAAAACGACAAAGCCCCTGGGAAGCTTGAAATATCTATCCCAGGGGTCAGCAACCTTCACATACCTGGGGCCGGTCGCTGGTCCCCAAGTCTTCCGCCAGGCCAGGGAGGGGGGGAATGGCGGCGCACGCGCTCACGCGCAGCCACCGCCACCACCGCCAGCCCCTGCCGCTGCTGCACCACCGCATGTGTTGCGGCCACCATTTTGTTTGCCAAAGTGGCGGCCGCGACTCGTTTGCGCATGCGCAGTACTCTTGCGGGGGCCGGTCAGCGGGGTTCGGCAGGCGGGGTGCGGCCCGCAGGCCGTAGGTTGCCGACCCCTGATCTATCCTGACTTGAAAACTAACTTTTTAGAAACTAAAGTGACCGGGGCTTTTTAAAAGAAGGGATTGAATTCACGTTTAAATGGCAAAGTATTACCCCCAAAAGCTTTGAGGGTGCAATCTACCATTCTGGGAGGCAATCTCTTTGGGGCATTAGGGAATGTGGCGCCCTCCAAGGTCTAAGGAAGAAAAGAAATGGTACCCAGAACCTCAGAGGTTGCCAGCTCCTGGGCTAGCCCAGTACAGCCACCTCTTGACCATTAGCAGCTCTCCAAGTCCCTGGCACAAGACCTTCCAAAGGTTTGTTACATGAGCCTTTATTTTTAAGCTGGGGATATCAGGATGGAAGATGGGATCTGCAACCGTCTGCAAGTGCTCTACTCCTGAGCTAGAGCTAGAGCCCGTTTTGTGATCAGAGGAGGCTGGATGGGTTACCGGAAGGAAGAGGCTCCTACCTGTGTCATAGCCATGGTTCAGTCGGACAACAAACCGGTGGGCTCCTACTCGCTGGGCTGCCTGTGCCACTTCCTCCTGGCTCCGCTCCCCCAAGCCATAAGCGATGTTCTTGTGTAAGGACCGAGCTAAGAGCACTGGGGCCTGGCTCACCAGCGCCACCTGCAGGGAGGGCAGAAGGGCAAAAAGGACCTGGAGGTCTACTTTATTCCAGATCAATACCAACAAAATTCCCATCATGAGTGTCGACATAGGAACTGAATCTAAAAGAAGGGTAACTGAAGGAGAGAACAAGGGGGCAAGGCAAAGGCTTCAAAACAATAGTGAATGATGGCTCCCATATCACCACGGTAAATAATATTTTAGCTTGCATTAATAGAAGCGTAGTTTTCAAGTGAAGGGCAGTAATAGTCCGCTTATATTTTGCCCCGGTCAGGCTTCACCTGGAGTACTGCATTCAGTTCTGGCCCCGAGTACCTTATTTTAAGAAGAATAAAGACAAGTTGGAGCAGGTTCAGAGAAGGGCAATAAGGATGATACAAGGTACGGAGAACAAAACATAGGAGAGGCTGAAAGAGCTGGGCATGTTCAGCTTGATAAAGAAAAGATGGAGATGAAATATGATCACCCTCTTTAAACACCTCAAGGACTGTCACAAAGGAAGGGGGCAGGTTTGCTGCCTAAGAGGACAGGATCAGGTCTAGTGGTTTTAAGTTACAGAAGGGAAAATTTTGATTGAACATTAGAAGGAGCATAGTTCTTTATGGGCTTTTCAGGCTATGTGACCATGTTCTGGAAGAATGTATCCCTGATGTTTCACCTGCATCTGTGGCTGGCATCTGTGGCTGGCATCAGAACACAGCCACATAGCCTGAAAAACCCACAAAAAACTATGGATGCCGTCTTTGAAAGCCTTCAACTTCACATTAGAAGGAGCATTTTGACAGGGAGAGCAGTTTGGCAATGGAATCAACTGCCTAGAGAGGTGGTAGGGTCTCTTCCTCTGGACATCTCCAAAAAGAGACTGAATAACTACATGCTGAGGATGCTCTAACTCAGTAGTTCCCAAACTTTGGTTCTCCAGGTGTTTGGACTTCAACTCCCAGAAGTCCCAGCCAGCTTGGCCAACAGTCAGGAATTCTGGGAGATGAAGTCCAAAACATCTGGAGAACCAAAGTTTGGGAACCACTGCTCTAGCTGAGGCCCCTTTCAAGTCCTGGATTCCATGCTGGTACATCTGCATCAGGTTTAAGTCTAAACTTTAAAAAACCCCAAAACCTATACATGGGACCAATAACTACACACGGCTAAGACTAGACCATGCACTGACCGTGGCACAGATCATGAATTACTCATATAAAAAATAAGACTAAGACTCAGGAAAAAACCAAAACCAGTGATTATACCAAAATATGATCTAAATATCTCAACTGAATTTACTGACAAGATAAGAAACAGATTCGCATTACTAAGCATAATAGACTGAGAACCAGAG